ATCATGTAAAAATTGCTTCACATCTGGCCTGAAGTTCAGTTGATAATGATTCTGATAATTACTGGCAGTAAATAAACAAGAAAATATTTGTCCTGCAAAGATGTGGCAGTGTTATATGTTAGTTGTCATAGTAACCCAAAAATAAAAGTTTAGACATTTGGTGACATTTGAAGATTTGTATATATCTCATTTGATGGTTGCCCACCAGGTTGCTGACTTTGATTTGTTGTATCAGAATCCTAGTGTTGTTGTTTTGTTTTAATTCTCCTTACATTATTTTAACTAGGATGCCTCCATAAATGTCCCTGTCTGTCCGAGATTTGAGCAAGCAGTGATTTCAGCAGATTAAGAAGTTGCTTATCCAGCGCCTCTCCTTGCTGTGGTGTCATGAGCCAGGGGCCATACACCAACAGATTGAGCAGACTACAAATGTTCAGCATGTACAATCTGTCCCGTACCTCAGCTTACAACATCTGCTGCTCAGACCTCCTCAGGTTTTACCGCCTGTAACTAGACAGAGACTAGGAAGTGTGTATTTTAGCAGAGAAAGATAAAATCATCAATATGAAGTAGAATTGAACTAGATCAGTTTGACAGGTGGTGCCGAGAGAAATCGACTGTTGTTTGGTGCATATTCTACTTATTGCTTATAATAGGACTTGTACCAGCTCTAAATTACCCTAATGTGACACAGTGAGTTCATGTGTGGTCTTCTGTGGTTTTCTTCCTTTTTCACAGTATTTTCACAGTTGGATGTCAGGGTTTCTTTTGTAGGGTTTCCAGTTGTTATAGTTTATATGCTTATGTCCTCGGTACCCAAATGTCACAGTAAAGCACCAGCACCAGGCGTTTTTTTCTATCCGTGTTGCTTACTGTGGCACTGCTGTCTCTCTCCAATTTCATCCATCCCAACACTTTGACTTATGAAATGTGAAGTAAATCAGGTTTTCCTGTTTAAAATTTTGAGTATATAGAAAATACTTTCTCAAAAGGTTGACACCTTTTTTGGAAATTTAAGAACCTATCCTGGCTCTAGTTTGGTTCAGGAATACCTTTAAATGTCACATTGACTGGTAATTAGGTGTTCTCGTTTGTCTTTTGACACTGTTCAATAAGTCTATTGTTGTTTTGCATTTTGTGAATCTTTTGAAAATCTTTAAAAAGTCATCAAGTATGTCTCCTCCAGCTGAGTATATGTTAGGAAAAACATGACTGGGAATGAATATGCACAGGCCAACGTTAGAGCAGCAAGTGCAGTGCTCACCTGCAGGATTTCTGAATCCTACTGAAGGAGAACAAACTGACTTAACTCTGAGACAGAAAGTGTGGATGCATTACTGATTGCCTGATTTCTGTCCGACTGTGTAGTACAGATGGTTTTTTATATGAGAGCAGTGTTTATTCACAGAAATCTTTTTATCAGTGTACACTGTGAAGTTTTCTGACGTACTTTTCATCTTATGTGATCATGAATAACCATCATCACAGTAATCTGACCCACGGTTGAAAGCTGGTGAAAATCCTTCATTTGGTTAAATTTATATTGAGGCACAAACCACGAACATTTTTTAAAAGTTTAGTGATATGTGTGTGTCATACTTATTCATATTAGAAACGTTGCAAAATCTCTGTGTAGAAGTTTCTCAGAGTTAAACAGTCAGGCTAAATTATTTAAACGTTTTAAAAGACATGAGTCTGCCATTTAATTTTAGCAGTGCTGCTTTTCTGATAGACAGCACAATCATGGCAGTGGTGCTTATGTAAACCTGAATCTCGTGCAGTCCTTAGACTGTTATTATACTGAAAAACTCAACTTTTTACCACACAGTAAAGAAAAGCATAATCAGGATAAAGAATCAGACTTACATTGGCAAGTTTTTGCCTAACACTATTGATATTTAATTAGCAATTTGGCATTTGTAATGTGCAGTAAAGATAGAAAAAAGGAAGTTAGAAAAATGCAGGATAGCAGTATCATTTTCCTTCATTGTTTCAGTCAGTGGTAATTCTCACATTTAAACATATTCACTGCATTTTTGCCAGAGACTTGATAAGAAAGACGTGCCACGCAAAGATTTCTGCGAAGAAGTCTATAAAATTTACACGATTCTCCAACAGCAGAGATTGTTTGAGAGGTATAACTTCTGCTTTCTAAAATCTTATATTTGGTGCCAAACTTTATGAGCCATTTAATGATATATATTTTAGCTGATGCCTCTATATGTGCAAGTTTTTAAATCAGTGTTTTCTTTTCTTCAGACGTTTCAGTGTTGTAACAAAGCGAATGAGTAAGGATGAATGAGAGAGTAGTATTGGGAAGATAGTAAAGAGAGAGAGAGTGATGAAAAGGGATTATTGTTGTTCACTGGGTTAATCTGTTAGTGTAGTAAACAGCCGTAATCTGATGGCCTGCTGGATCAGTGTCCAGGGAACACTTCACCTCCTGACAGATGGCAAAAAAAATAGATACTCTCCTACACACAGACAAATAGAAATCTATGTGCACACACAGAAACCACAAACTTGTAGCTAAGCAGAAAATAAACACGTGCACTGATTAAATCACTACTGCACACATATATACATTTTTAAATGGCCAGTTTTAATATTACTTCCTGTTATTTTTTTTTTTTAAGTAATTCATTGCCTGTCACGCAATAAAAAGGTCAGCAGTCAGTGATGCATTGTCTCTATAGAGTGGCTAAACAGTTGTTTATTTGCCAGTATCATGATGTGCAGTCACTAACACATTTGAATTATAAACACACAAGTTAATATGTGAGGTAGTCAATAAGTTTTATTGTTTTAAACCAACAGAAGTCATTCATTCCAAATGAACGTAAAGAGAGAATAGAACCAAACGTCCAGCCATAACTTTTTGTCTGTTGCAGCACATTGAACAGGAGTACTGCTAGGCTGGATAAGAGCTATTTGCAAGTTATATTGTAGCACCTATCCTAATACACCACTTTGTTGTGTAAAGTAGCATTTAGACAGGGTTTTCTCCACAGTAAAAGATGCTGATGCAATTTTGACATGGAACTATTTGGCATATGCACAAACTCTAAGACTGCACATAGGCGGCAGATGTGCAAAGCAAAATGTCATTGGCTGTCAGCAAGCCATCACCCTATCAGCTTTCATTGCAGTTAGGAAAAAACAGATGGTAAACAGTATGAAGCAACCATCAAATCAGTGTGAAACCTCTCGGCCCAGACTAATCCACATGAGAGCTTTCCCAAAATAAGTCACTTCTCTCATCTTATCATGCAAGGTTAAACAGAATCTGATTGCCAGTGTGTGGCTGTTCACAGAGTACATTGTCACATTTGGATGGTAGCAAACATCTGTGTAGTGTTGCACACAAAATAGTCACACGTTTTTCAGGGTCAAAACCCTTTCAGGAAATGTGGACTGACTTTATACCCAAACTATATTTTAAATTTAGATTTAAACTTCATAGATCTGATTAGACTGTTCAATGTTCACAATCAGGGAAAGAGATTTCCTTTCCATGTTTTTATAAATGCATCACTTTATTGACCCAGCTTCATGAACCAAATCAATATGTCATAAATTGCCTCCGTGTACCTCTCACATTTGTTCCTAATGATACTAAGCATTAGGTTGTATCAATGTCAGCCTAATAACACATAAAAGTTAAGTGATTAACTTTTGATTAACCTCTGCCAGTGAAAGAAGCAGCACAGCAGCAGACCTGAATAAGTCACTTATAATTTTGTCTCTGAGAAATAAGTTTGTATGTATAAAGTATATGTAAAGACTGCCTTGACTATTACAGCAGAGGATCAAGCGAGAAAATAAAAATGGGACAAAGCACCTGTCTTTTCATACAGCAAACATTATCTAATTATGTTTAAAAACAGTGGGAAATATTGTTTTTTTGCTGTTTGGTCTCTTTACTTTTACAGTAAAGCATTTATATAACACTGTGCTTGAAATGTAAATCACGTGGCGTGGCTTTGTAAATCATAACTTGTAAATCATGAACGTGTCATGCAAATCAAGTGTTGTAAATCTAGTGTCACAGCTTCTACTGTAAGCTTAGCCTCGGTTTACCAGTGAGACATGCACTGATGTTCTCTGGTGATGCGTTTCATTTGGCAAGTAACCACAGCATAAATAGTGACTGGCTAGGAATGTACCACTGGCAAAAATAGTCAACTCTGGTATCTTTGTATTGCAGATTATTTTATTTCTTTTTCAATATGGACAAATTTACATGTAGGACTGTGTGCAAAAGACAAAGGAGTAATTAGATCTAACAAGAAAATCCATAGATTTCTGACAAATAAGATGGGTGAGATTGTTTATAATAGAACGACATAATTTAGAAAATGAATGCACAATGAAAAAAAATTGTGAGACCTTGCTGGTGCATTCATCTAAATAAATGTAGCATACACACATTATGTGCAATCATTTGCACATTAGGAAACTGCTTCAGATTTTGTTGTTTCTGTCTTATGACATATTAATTTCCCTTGATCCTCCTCTCAGCCACAACAACGGTTTAAACAGCAGAAGCCTAAATAGAGACTCGTGTAAACAGCAGTTTAAGAGGAGCTCTTGATTCAAGCCTGTTCTCTAATGATGCCAGATTTAATCAGGAAGTCTTGACACACCAGGGGATTATAGCCAAGTTTAGATCTCAACCTTAATGTTTTGTCTGGGGCTTAATATGGAAGAGGTAGAGACAGAATCACACAAGCCACAAAGTTTATTAACACGTTTATGGTCCAGCCAAACAGTTCTCTGTAGTCATTGCTGTGTTATTTTGTGATTACAGGTAAAAACTATAGATTATAACAGCTACAACTCTGGCAGTCAAATCTTTTTCTTTCTCCCTTGATGGCTCAATAAAGCAGTGTTGTTATTTGGATTTTTTTTTGTTGTGAAGTTGTTTGTTGTATTTAAAGATTCCTGTGCTGCATTGATAAATTAAACAATGATATACATGTTTTCTTTCTGCGTTACAGTATGGACGGTCGGACAGCTACCGCGTGGCTACCACGCAGGACAAGGATGAGAAGGAGTCGCCCAAGAAGAAGGGAGGCAAGGATCTCGATGACCTGAAGAAGGAAGTTCCCATAGTATGTACCCTTTTTAAAACCACTTCATCTTAGCCCACTGCTTTTGCCTGCAGGTTTTGGCCAGGTGCTGATGTATAAAATGGAACTCTTACTGAGGTTTGAGAAATGAAAATGCAGAAAGACACATACAAAGTATGAGTAGGCTTCTTCATAGACAGAGTAAACAAAAACCTTGAAATCCCAGCTGAGTACTGAGAAGTTTGTTAAGCTTCCTGGCCTGTGTCCAGCATTCAAAGAGCTGTGATCCAACTGTAATCTAATCTCCCTGGTTAAAAAGGAGATGGCAGAGATGAGGTGTTCCGTAGCAGCTGGTGCATAGTAATGTTACAGTGTGGTTTGACATAACATGCCAGAGCAATTTAATCCTCCTGTGGAAGGATATTCTTCTGTGTGAGGTAGGAAGCCAAACCCACAGGAAATCCCAGTGATACAAAACTGCATCAGATGTTCAGATAATAAAATCATAAATGAATGTTATCAGTCTCTATTATTATTTACAATTATTTGAAACATTTGTAAAATACCGAAAACATTGATGAAATTTTATGCTGGCAACCAGAAATCTCCAATATTTAAAACTCAGTGACTGCTTCGTGTAAGTGGTGATTTGCTTTTATTTGCTTCTTGAAGTTAATTTGTAGTGTTATCAAAATAAATAAATACATTGTGACTGAGGTTTTGATTGATTTCATGATAAATCTTTATTCTTTGTAGACTGAACACAAAATGTCTGTTGAGGAGGTTTGCCGGAAGTACAACACCGATATCGTTCAAGTAAGTACTTTATTTCAAATCAAAATTACACTTTTGCACTTTTTGATATTTCTGTCTGGCGTACAAGTTGGTGTATGTTGCACCGCTTATGAAGACTTTTTAAAGTGCAAATGGATGTTATACATAAATAGGCCATACCTACTGTACTACCTTTTTTTCCTTTCCTGTTTTTTCACCTCTATTCTATTTTTCTTCCACTCACATCGCATCATTCCATCGTTTTCTGTCCATTGCTTTTATAATTTCTAGGGTTTGACCAATGCCAGGGCTGCAGAGTATCTGGCCAGGGATGGCCCCAACGCTTTGACTCCACCCCCTACCACCCCAGAATGGGTCAAGTTCTGTCGTCAGCTGTTCGGTGGCTTCTCCATCTTGCTGTGGATTGGTGCCATCCTCTGCTTCCTGGCCTATGCCATCCAGGCTGCCACAGAGGATGAACCTGCTGGGGATAATGTAAGTGGTTTGTCAGGATGGGTGGATAGATGATAGAATAGATTATTAATCCTCATTCATTTTAAGTAGGCAGGGTTTGTTGCTTAAAATACAAACATCAGCACCTATGAGAAGCTATACACAAAATAAGGATGAACACATTGTTTGTAGTGTGTGTGTGCTCTGTCCTGTAGCATATCACTTTACAAAGCAATTTGCTGACTCACTACTCTTTAGGGATGAGGCTGCATCTCATCCCTATGATAAAATATGTGTCAGCTGTTTGTAGAAACCATGTCAGCTGACCCATCTCTGGAGTGACAGACGCCGTCTTGTCTGTATCCACTCTGGACTCGCCACAGGGAGCATATGACTCCTGGCATTGGTAATTGCAGGGTAAGAGTAGGGCATTTACAGGTCAGCACTGTTTCATGCCAGGTCAGAGCACTGAGTAGAGCAAAGGACTGAGGCTAAATGACTCTGACACACACAGCATTAAAGGACAACATGCTTTGTTCAAAGCACAGGGAGGTCTCGGGGTGAAACATCACCAGTTTTGAGTCATGAGTTACGAGTGGCCAAGAGTGTGTCAACAAACTGTATTTTCACACACTGTCAGATGCTGAACGCAAGATATGAAAGACAAGATTCAGATTTAGAGCTTAAGATGGTAAAACATATGACAGCAAACCAACATAGTCATAAAACCACTAATAAAGTACACTGCAAACAGATGGACTGCGTTCAGTTCATTGAGTCCAAGTCAAACCACGTGCTGCTGTCAGCTCCAGGATACGAGACTTAAATGAAAGATGATTTATGTTATTTCTAGATTTCAGACTTTACAGAAGCCTTGAGTTCCTGAAAAAGCTTTGGTCTTTATCTCTTACATGCCTCTGAAGTCCAGCATTTATTGACACGAAGTTAGCGTCTGACGTTGTATCTCTGCTAGTCTGTCTTTTTTTCCCTTCCTTTCCTCTCGTGTAATCAAGTTTTAGATAAAAGTTGAGTCTTTTGGTTATTTTCTTTATAAATATGACAGTCTGACACCTTTTTTCCCCTTTCTGTCTTTCTCTACAGTTGTATCTGGGTATCGTGCTGTCAGCTGTTGTTATCATCACCGGCTGCTTCTCTTACTTCCAGGAAGCTAAGAGCTCCAAGATCATGGAATCATTTAAGAACATGGTCCCTCAGGTACCAGAGACTTCCTAGTCATCGTCAGGATCATGCCGGGATGTTTTTGTGGTGATTGTTGTGCCAGAAGGGGATTTCACAAAATGTATTGCTTGATTAAATCCAGTTTTCCAAATGAATTTGCTTGAAAGAGGTTTGAAATAAATTATGCTGCAGTTTGTGGAGTGACTAAACATTTAGAATTCAAAGACCAAAGGGTGCTGAAAATTAATGAGTGTATCGCTTGTCGAGTTCTGTGGTTACGTATTATATGAAGTGATCCTCCAAATAGCATGTTTACGTCTTTCTTTGTCACTCTGTGATCCAGCAAGCCTTGGTGATCCGCGAGGGAGAAAAGATGCAGATCAACGCTGAGCAGGTGGTTGCAGGAGATCTGGTGGAGGTGAAAGGAGGAGACCGGATCCCTGCCGACCTCCGCATCATCTCCTCACATGGCTGCAAGGTGAGCTACAGGCACAGACAGA